TTTGTCAGAATGATTCCTTCTCACATTCTACATACAACAGTGGTGCTGTGTTGCACACGGTTACTGTGGTGCACACAAGCACCGTGGTGTACACAGGCACTGCAATGCACGCAGGCATTGTGGTGTACACTGCTGTGTTGCACACGGCTGATGTGGTGTACGCAGGCGCTGTGGTGTACACAAAATCTGTTGTGCCCGCGCGCGCGGTGGCACAAACTGACGCTGTGTTGCAACCGGCTGCTGTGGTGTACATAGGCGGTGTGGTGTACACAGGCGCTGTGGTGCACGCACGCACTAAAGTGTACACAGGTGTTGTGGTGCAGATCGCCACCTACATGGCTATCAAGAAATGGTCTCAGACTCGGCACTGCCGCCAGAATCGAGGAGGAGGCCAGGGCTGGGGAGGCGGCCCTGGAGGGAGCGGCCAGGGAGGCCGGGCCTGGTGCGACGGGGTCCCGAGGCCAGGGCATGGAGGCCAAGAAGGGGGGTCAGGGCAGGAGGCCAGGGCCCGCGAGGCAGGGTCCCGGGGCCAGGGCAGGGAGGCCACCAGGGAGGCCAGGGCAGACGGAGGGGCAGCAAGAGGAGCCTCTTGCCGGCAGGAAGGGCAGGCAGGTTCGAGACTGTGGGTTCGGGAGGGTTCTTGGCCGTTTTCGGATTCCAGGTGCCGTTTCCGGTCCCCGCGGGACAGTCAAAGCTTGATCCAAGCTGAAAACCTGCGCCGGAGAAACTACGGCCGCCCCCCCCAGGGCTCTCTCGGACCCCCCAGACGGCCTCCAACCGCGACAAGCAACGTCGTCGGAGGCCTCGGCACTGCGGCGCGCAGCACTCGGAGTCCGTCGGAGGCCTCGAGGGCCTCCGACGGCCTCCGACAAACTCGACCGACAAAATCCTCGGAATCCGCCGGAGGCCTCGGCACCGCGGCGCACAGCGCTGGGCAGGGCGCCCCCCGAGGCGCGCTGGGGGCCTGGCCGAGCGAACCAGGCAGCGGCCTAGGGAGACGACGGGGCAACGATGGAGGTTGGGCGGAGGAGGGAGGAGGAGCAAGGAGTGAGGGGCAAATGTTCCACCACCACAACCATATGTAGGACAGGGGGAAATGGAGGACGAGGAGGCCCTCCTCCTCCTCCTCCTCCTCCTCCTCCTCCTCCGAAAGCAGACCCGATGTAGGCCTGGGCGGTTTTGGTGTTTTTTCTAGAAGAAGCAAGGCGCCGACAAAATCTGCTCGTGAACAGTCGCAGCCTGCGCCTTCTGCACATGGGCGGGCTGCGGAGAAGCATGGCGCCGACAAAACTGCACGCGAGAGGTCGCAGCCTGCGCCTTCTGCACATGGGCGGGCTGCGCGCTCTGATTTGGCGACTTAATGCATGCAGCCTCTCTCCCTGCGAACAGACTGGCCAAACTCCTGGAGCAGGTCGTTGCCTGACCTCCGCATGCGCCACACCCAAGCCCACAAGTACGAGCGGCAACGCTCCCAGTCTGAAGTGTGGACGCTGTCTGGGATGCTGTCGCGCATCTCAGGCCAGAGGCCATCGCAACACTGCGTGCCTTTTTTCAAATGAAGAGTCTCGGTGCGCCCGTTCGGGCGCACGACGCGCACGCGGTCGACGACGGCCCACTGTTCTGCATCGTGAGAAACTATGCCGTGCGATAGCTTCAGATGCTTATAATGCAGCTTGAAGCGGTCAGCATTGAAACGAGGAGGGTCTTTGCTCTTGTCGCTGTAAGCAGCACGGCTTTTCGGTGCTACGGACTGGTACGCGCCCGCGCCATCCGTCAAAAGCGTGAAATTGCCAGGCACGAGAACCCAAGAGAGGATCTCGTCGCACTCGGGCCCACTGAGTGAAACGCCGCTTCCCCCAGCGGCGCAGGTCCGCTGGGGCAGCTCGAAAAACATCGCCAGTTGGCGCTGTCCCCGAGGACACACGCACATGAATCGGTGATGTAATATGCGGTAACGCCCAAAAGGGTGCTCGCCGCACGTCGTATCACAACAATCTCGCGGGCAAGTCACGCGGCAAGCGCGCATTGACGCCTCGTCGGCCTCAACGAGGCACCCGCGAGGCCACACAAAGTCGTCCTGCTCAGCCTTGGCAACGCGGGCGCAGATGGACCGCACGACACTAGTGATGCGCTGGGCTGCATTCTTCGATATCCCCACCTGCACAGCCATTTCGTCCGACGACTCGTAGCCCGAGGCATGCTGGGTTGCTGCATGGGCGATGGCGAGGAGGGTGCGGGTGGTGTTCACGGAGCCCTTGTTGAACAACTCCTTCAGAGGGCCCTTCGGGTCGAGGTTCGACTCGCGCCTCTTGATGGGCGAACAACGCACGCCCATGCCCGTACAACGCGCACCCATGGGCTCCCCCTCCCCACCCTCCGTCTATCCCGTGGGTATGGGCGTGCTTTGTTCGCTCATCGCCTCTGGCAATCCCAATTGGAACAGCGCCAAATCGGATAATCCATTTGAGGTATGCTGAAGCCCGCCACCTGGATGTCCTTGTCCGACTGGCCGCCCCGAAGCTTCAACTCCATTGTGCCGCACTGGCACGCCGTGCACTCGCCCCCCAGATCTGGTAGCACCCCGATCTCTATCATGATACGCGCGAGGAGCTCGGGACTGATGCGCGCCATGTCGACCACGGCGATCCTCTTGGATATAGGTAGCGCGGCGAGAGAAGGGCGATCAGCTTGTTTCTGATTCGGAGGAATGTAGGATGGACCAGGAGCCTCTTTTTTAGTTGCCGCCCTACCCTTCTTCATCATCGACTTCTTGCTGATGCGGCTCCCCTTCGTCAACGACACCCTGCGAATGCCAGACAACTTCTTAGAATGGAGAGTCGCGCAAGCGGGCTTCCGTTTCAACGAAGCCTGCTGCACGCGGTGCGCACGCTTGTGCTTGTCCGCCTGGGAGGCCTTGCCACCATGAGGCATGATTGACGAGGCGAACGGCAATGGGAGTGGCGAGGCTGCAATCCAAAGCCAAAGTTTGAACCAAAGTGCTACGGACCGAACACCATGATCGGCAAACACATGGACTACAATTGCGACCGCGCGCAGTCGCAACTTTGACCGCGGCAAAAGTAAACAAGCGTTGTTGGCCTTTTTTCAGTAGAGCATGGCCATCGCAACGCCCTGCCCCGTTCACAGGCGCTGCCCCCCGTCCCCGATATGCACAAATTAGGTCTCGTGTGTCCCCGACGGCGCCTGCACGGTTGCGCCTCGCTGGGGGCGAGGGTCGGGGAATCATCATGCGCACTGCTGCATCGTGCGCATCGCCATCACGGCGGAGGCGGCGAAGGCGCAGCGCTGGCGCCGCCTACTGCCTACTCAGGCACCCCGAACCTGCCACCAATTGCATTCCTCGGCACGCACGCCCTCAGGCATGATATGCCACGAGACGTGGCCCGTGTGGCAGGCGCGCACATCACCGTCGAACACGATGAATCCTCCGAGGAAGACGAGAACGGCCACGGCGTGCCCCGTCACCCCAGGCGCAGAGCCGTACGTTGCGATGTAGCGGCCTGTGGGCACGGCGCAAGCTCCGCGGATGGACGCACGGGCGATCACGCACCCGTCTCCAGCGATCATGGCCTCGGCATCGTTGATGCTGAACGGCCCATCCTGGGTGTACGGAACGTTGAATCCGAGGGCGTTCAGGGCGTCGACCATGCAACAGTTCTTGAAACCTGCACCGAAGAGGCCGTCGCCCGTGCCATGGGGCGCCTCTTCGTCGCTGTCATCGATGATCAGCGGCGGGCCGCCCGAGGGCGCCAGTTTGGCGAAGACGCCTGGCTCCAACTTGACGGGGCGAAGATTACCGCTGTCCGAGGCCGCCCCTGGTCGCGCGGGGGCGGGCATGCCCGCCTCCGCTTCCGCTTGCTCTGACATGATCCCCAACGCTGCCGCGGCCTCCTCGTCGGCATCGGCGGCATCGAACACGGCGCGCGCGCGCCGCGCCGATGGTGAGTCCTCGCTGGAAGCGCCGTCCAGGTCGATGTCTCGAGGACAAGACGCAAAAAGCTTATTGAAGCTCTTCGCGGCCTTCTTGGGTGGGCTCAAGAGGTCGATGCTCTCGCGGTCGTGCGCCCTCGCCAAACCGCCCAGGTACTTGGCCATCTCGCGGTCCCTGTCGACCTTGTCCTGTGAGTCCACTGGGCAGCCGCCGCGCGGAAGGGCCGCGCGCGGCGGCGCATCTGTGCTCTCGCCCATCAGAGGGGGAGGGGCCGCGCGCGTCGGCGCCTCCGCTCCCTCGCCCATCGGAGGGTAGAAGAAGCGGTCTGGCGCCTGGGCGTCGAACAGCGTAGGGCCTCGCACTGTGACGGCTGGCTGCACTGCCTCGCCTCTTGCAAGCCTCCGCATGAATGCCTGGCCCCACTTGAAGTCGATCTCGAAGTTAGGCGGCTTGTACGTCTGGTCCTTCTTGTACTTCTTCATGGTGTCTCTGCTTTCGGGCACGAACAGGTCGGGCTGGGCTGGGTTCGGCCAGGCAAAAAACGGCACCGACTCCTTGTCCGTGGAAGCCAGGCGGAAGTAAATGCGCTTGTCCGACAGGAGGACAACGTGGCTCCTCGCGAGGTACGCCTCCGCGTCTGCCATCTCGAACGACCCCCGCGCGTCGCGGGGAAAGTTCGCCTGGATAATGCGGACGAAATCGTCAAAGGAGATTGCCTCGGCTCCAGGCCGAACGGGCTGGACGCGGGCCTCAAAATCCTTGTCGTAGGCGTTCGCGCAGGATTGCCGCGCCTGGTTCATCATGAACTGCGCGCCGCCCCATCGAGCCCAGAGCAAGGCGTCCTCTTCGGCCGGGTCGTGGAACGCCTTGACGTCGTCTGTGCCCCACTTCGACATCACCGCGTCGTCGGCAATCGCGGGCTTGAAGAGGCTCCCTGGCTCGAGGCGAAAGAAATCAATCCTCTTGGAGGTGACGACGCTCGGCTTCAGGTCAGAGCGGCCGTGCTTGTCGATCTGGTAAGCCGAGATGGCGAAGCAGGTCGTCTTAGAAGCGGACGACTTCCCGACGCGAGTCTTCCCGATCCACATGATCGAATGTACATCGTGAGTGCGCAGTGCGGGGGCAATGATGTTGTTCAGGATCGTCGGATGGAACTGCCTCAAAGTGTGGCACCACGACATCAACGTCCGCGCGCCCACGGTGCCGTTGGCGTAGTTCCGCAAGCTCTCCTGCGAGGCTGCCAAACGGACGCGCGCCCGAGCACCTCCCCTCAAGCTGGCGCGACGATCAGGTCTGCGCCCAGCGCGAAGGGGACGCGCTCTACGCCGCGCGTCCGTTTAGCCGCCTGGTCCTTGACATCCCCAGGCGTCCACCCGAAGATCGGACTGCTCTCGAGGTGGATCTGATCATCCGTCCACTCGACGAATTGGTTCTGGGCATTGCTCCGTGGTCCATGATCGCGAATGAAGGCGTAACCAGCCGTTCGAGCAATCCTGTCGTAAGTGCCCGCTTCAGCTGCCTTCTTCACGGACGGCTGCACGAAGTATCGGTACTGCACGCCCCCAAGGCGGTCCATCATGAAGTGGAACAACTTGCGAACCTTCTTCGTGTCAGAAGTGCGGCCCCAGTGGATCGTCAGCGGCGTGCCCACGATGAACACATCTTTCACCAAGTCCACGCGAATACTGTCGTCGAACTTGATATACTTCAGCACAGACTGCACCCCATCAGGGTCGGTGGGCAGAACGTAGATCTGCATTGTGAACGCCAGCTCTCCCGTGTCCTTCTTCGGCTTGAACGGAGACGGCAAGGACGCGTAGTCGCCGCGGCGCATGATGTCGACCATGTCCACAGCACTTGTGTCGGGAAGCTCCTGGCACTCCGTTCCAATCTTGATCCAATCCACGACGTGCTTCACTTTTACCACGTTGTCGATGTCTCTCAGTGGCATGTCTCGGAGACGATAGCAACCAGGCGGGTCTGATTCGAAGCGCGTGGGCTTCTCGAGCCGACTGTACGGGTTCAGAGTGTCCATGCAGCCCCAGGCCTGCGCGACCTGCTCGGTGGCGGACTCGCCCCCCGCGATCATCTCTCCCAGAGACTTGACGCCCCCCGCCACGAGGTTCGCCATGATCGCAACGAGACGCGATGCAACGTTGACTGCGAGGCGCACCTGTGGTCTTGAGCCAACGCAAAGCTGCGGGCTACAGCAATGGGAAAAGATAACGGACTGGGGCATCCAAAATCTGGATCCCCCCAATCAGCGGGCTCTCTCTCTCTCTCTCTCTCTCTCTCTGTCGCTGTCGCCGTCCCTGTCTCTTTCTCTGTCTCTGTCTTTGTCTCTGTGTCTGCCTCTCTCTCTCTCTCTCTCTCTCTCTCTCTCTCTCTCTCTCTCTCTCTCTCTCTCTCTCTCTCTCTCTCTCTCTCTCTCTCTCTCTCTCTCTCTCTCTCTCTCTCTCTCTCTCTCTCTCTCTCTCTCTCTCTCTCTCCTTCTGCGGGTGTGTGTTTTTTGGCTGTCGCTCCAAAGGCCAGGGCGGGGCTGCTAGTCGAGGCCGCGCGCGGCGCACGTCAGCCCAAGTCGTTGGCGTGGCCGCGGGGCGGGCCGTGGCGCGCCAAGCGCACCACTTTCTTGGCCGCCCAAGGAGGCAAGTGGTACTTCATGTGCACCTGGAGAGTCCGCCACCAGCTCTCCCAAGGAGCTGTGGCCTCCTCGAGCGCCTTCTCGGCCTTCTCGGTCGCCTTCTTGGCCTTCTGAAGCTTTCCCTCCGTCTTCTCCAAGGAAGCCTGCGTCTCGCGCAGCTCCGCCCGCGCGTCCTTGAGGGCGGTCGCCTTCTGCTTGAGCTGCTCCTTGCAGTGGTTGGCAACCGCCTCTGCCGCTGCGGCTTTGTGTTGGGCGGTGTACATATTCCTGTAGTGCTGGTTGGAGCGGCGTGACCGCGCGTCCAGGACGCTCTCAAGGTCGCGCAACTTGTCCACCAAGGGTTTGCGAGCTGCGGCGCGCGCCCCCCTCGCCAGCTTGGCCACAGCTGGTTTGTTGCCGAGGTCGTGATCTCTCTTCGCGGCCCTGCGTACCTTGTTGCTGTGCAGCTTCTTCTCGTAAGCGGGTGTCCCCTTCTTTGGGTTCCCCACGGTGTCGCGAAGCACGGAGCGCGGAACCAATCAAACCTTGAGCCAAAGCGGTTACGGATGGTCGAAGCTTGCTCGTGCCGCATCCGCTGGGGGGCTCTGTCATTCGGTCGGAGGGTTAGCAAACACTGTAAAAAACAGGTGTTCCAGGTCGGAGGGTCAGCAAACACTGTAAAACACAGGTTTCTCAGGTTTTTCATGTTTTTGCGCATCCATCCACCTGGGAGCGCATAGATCCCCCAAAACCTGAAAAACCGGTGTTTTGCTGTGGTTTCTCGGCCTCTGACCTGACAAAACCTGTAAAAAACAAGTTTTTCAGGCCGGAGGGTTGGCAAACACTGTAAAAAAACATGTTTTCAGGTTTTTCATGTTTTTGCGCATCTTTCCACCTGGGCGCGCATAGATCCCCCAAAACCTGAAAAACCTGAAAAACCTGTGTTTTGCAATGGTTTCTCAGCCTCTGACCTGAAAAACATGTTTTTTACAAGAGATTCTCTACCTCTGGCTTGACAGGAGGCGCCACGAGCGCAATCGAAAGGACGAACTGAATTGATCAGGCACTCTCCTCCTCCTCCTCCCCCTCATCAGTCTTCCTCCTCCTTCTCCCCCTCCCCCTCCCTCCTCCTCCTCCCTCGTGGTTGGGATGTTCGCCCCACGAGGGCTCTCGAGGGTTAAAACTGAGGGGCCCTCGTGTCGTCGTTTTCCCCCGCCGTCGCGGGGGTATTTTGCTGCCAGTCCTGGCTGGTAGAGGGCTGGGGGAGGTCCCCGCGAGTCCGCCTTTGTTTTGGAATGGTGGAGTCGCTCTATACTGTTCCTCTTCTTCAGGCAGGTCTCGTTCGAAGCCTGAGGTGGGGCCGCCCTGGCCCCCAGCTTAGCCGCCGCGTGTTCGGGCCTCGGACGCGCGCGCCACGCCTCGTACCCTCGTACCCTATCCTCCTCCTCTTCCTCCTCCTCTTCCTCCTCTTCTTTCTTCCTCGACGCCAAGTTGGAAAACGCTGAAACCGCCCAGGCGCCAAAAACAACCAAAAACGCCCAGGCCTACATCGGGTCTGGCGCCCCTCCTCCTCCTCCCCGCCTACCCATGGTAGTGGTGGTGGAAAATGGGCCCATCAAGGAGGGGGGGGGAGGACGAGGACAAGGCAGGACCAGCCATATCATCGACTCGGGACATCGGGCCAGCTCGGACTGCGCGCCGGATCGGGCCGCCTCGGCACGGAACCGAGGCCGGGTGAGATCGGCCGCACCAGGATGCACAACGGCGCCGTGAAGGCAGCGGGCCGCATGGGATCCAACGGGCCCGAACGCGCGCGGAGGCCCCGACAACGCGCGCGCGCAGGGTCCAGGGGAATCTGAGTTCAGGCGCCTAGAAATCACCCGCCGTCCATCCATGAGGGCAACGCTAGGGGGGACTGTCTCAGGGGGGTAACCTACCCCAGGCATCGGCGATGCATCGCCGACAGATCGGCGATAGGCTCCCACTAGCGAGACAGCACGGTCCTTGGCAGAGTCGGGCCACCGGGCCCCTATCGGCCATGAATGGGCGATTGCGCGTGGGGGAAGTATTACCCCTACCCCTTGTCCAAGGTGTTTTTGTCGTCCACAGCGGATGAGGTTGTTTCACATTGCGGTGGTAAAGCCGCTCCGTCAACATTGCGGCCGACGTTTGGCAATGCGAGATCACTACACCAAAGAGTCAATGCATTGGCACGCGCGCTACAGCCAACTGATAAACAAATGGGGCCGAACGACACGTTCGCCAAAATTCTGGAAAATGGATAGTATGAGCGCGGAGGCTAATCTAACGGGGCGATCTCAGCCCTCAAAGCAACTTTCCAGGGGAATGCCGCCGAAATGGGGACCTCCCATCTTACTGTCTGAACTCACCAACGTGTGGATCGGCCCCCAACGTTTTGGGGATAACTTCTTAGACCCAAGCGAACTGAACACGTTCTCAAGCCATAAACCTCCTGGCCCCCGCGGGCCTGTGAACGCGCACGCGTCGAGACGTCGAGACATGACGCGCCCTTGCGTGCCCACAGAAAACTTCTGGCGAAAAAGACCCAAAAGAAAAACCATATGACAAATAATCATCCCCGAACTCGTTCCACGTGGCCCGCCATTCCCGCAACCGCGCCCAGGCGCAACCGTTTCTGCTGCGCGCACCCCAGCAGAATGACGAGCCCCAAGCCCAAGCGAGCAAACAAGTAGTTTGGCGAGCTCCTTCCTCCCCCTGAGAGGTGTGCCAGCATTCAAATCAAGGGCGTGCCCGCCTCCAGAAAACGGTGCGCAAAGTGCCAGATCTTTACCCCGGACATGGGTCGGGGTAGGTATTCTGTTGCGGGGATTGGGAGCCGATGCAATCCGAGGGCCCAAAACATCGGCCCCTGGACCCATTCATGGGGGTGCGTTTTGGCCAGAATCGTGAGGCGAATCCAGCCGTGACGCTGAAGAACACCAGAAAGAGTCAACCATGCCCTCCAAAAATCGATCTTCGAACTTCGATCCCCCAAAATATCCCCAACCTTCAATACCGAACAACAGAAATCGACTGGAACCCTGGACACCATCTCCCTGTGGCATTTTCCAAGCCGGGGCCCGAAACAGGGCAACGTCGCCCGTTTCGGGCCCCGGGACCGCACAATTAAAACAAAGGCTGCTCTTTTTCAATTCTCTGCTTGCCTGATCTTTACTGCACGCGCCGTTTGCTTTATCTGACAGTGTCTTGGCCCGTTCAAGTCGGCGTCGCCCGTTGTGACAGAATGCGACGCCGAGATCTCAGTGTCGGATCGCGCCGCCTCGGCACGGAACCGAGGCCGGGTCGGATCGGCCGCGCCAGGATGCACAGCGGCGCCGTGCAGGCAGCGGGCCCCACGGGATCCGTCCGGCCCCCGAGGGCCCTCCGAGCGCGCACGGAGGCCCCGACAGTGCGCGCGCAGGGTCCAGGGGGAATCTGAGTGCAGGGGCCAGAGAAGGCCGCCCTGCGCGGGCCGCCCCGCCCTTCCTCCCCCTTCCCCTCCTCCTCCTCCTCCCCCTCCCCCTCCTCCTCCTCCTCCTCCTCCTCCTCCTCCTCCTCCTGCTCCTCCTCCATATCCTCCTCCTTATCCTCCTCCTTATCCTCCTCCTTATCCTCCTCCTTATCCTCCTCCTTATCCTCCTTATCCTCCTCCTCCACCTCCTCCTCCTCCTTCTCCTCCTTCTTTTCCTTCTCCTCCTCCTTATCCTCCTCCTCCTCCTCCTCCTCCTCCTCCTCCTCGTCCTCCTCTTCCTCAACCTGATGGGGGAAGTATTGCCGAGTCTGGGGGCCGACAGCGCGCGCGCGCTGCGCCTCGCCCTTCTTGGTGTAGGCCCCGAACGTCTCCGGCGGCGGCGGGGGTGCGGCGTCGGTGGCGCCGCGCACGCTGCGGTCGTGCGCGGCCACCTGGCGCCCCAGTCGGCGGCCGCTGGGCGTCCTCCTCCTCCTCCTCCTGCTTGTGCTGCTCCTCCTCGTTTTCCTCATCATCTTCACCCCCCCCCCCGCGACATCAGTGTGGCTTGAATTGACAAGCGCACGCCAGAGCAGTCCGACGGCCCAGAGCATTGCGCCACTACTTTGCAACCATATCTCTGGAAGGCGTGGTCTAATGCTACACAGAAGGAGGCTCGGAAATGGGACAGGGCTAACAAAACGACTGGCTTAGCCCATCACTCTGGTCGTGGTGTGCTGGGAACAGCTTATGCGGAGGCCCCTCTGGCCGGCCTATGTGGGTATCAAGAACAACGCGTCCACATCAGTGGGTTTCTTTGAAACTTATGTTGGAAACGGAAATTCACACTATTACTTTGAAGGAACGACCTGCTATAAAATCTACAAATGTTTTAATACAGTGCTTTTGGTCTGTTACGCGTCCGAATTGCCGAACCAAGTCCTGCGCTCGCGCCCTGAATCGTCTGTATAAGAGCATCTGCACCTCGCCGAAAACATGCCCAAGGGCCGCCGCGACCCGACGCAACGCGACCCTGCAGGGTGAACCGGCAGGGAACACAAGGCCCCCCGCCCCCCCGACCAGGCCCTGGCCTCGCATCACCACCGCATCCCCAGGATCTATTCAGGCAGACCGCTGAGTTTACTGAAGCGAGGAAGCGGCTCTACTAAAGCGAGGAAGCGGCTTTACTCAAGCGAGGGATCGGCTTTACCAAAGCGAAGAAACGGCTTTAGTAAAGGCGCGCCGCTCGATACATTCGGACAAAAGACGACGTTGAGCCAAAGTTAGCGAGAACAGAGATTCACTAAAGCGGAGGAGCGGCGAGGGTAAAACCGCCTGCAAGAAAATCGTTCGTCCCATACATCTGGCCCCGGACTCTGGGAGCGAAGACGGGGCGCAAGTTCGCCCGCGGGCCTGGGCCCCGTCGCTGCGAATACAGGGAGACGGCCGAGGGGCCGTTCCTGCACGGGGTCCGTAAGTAGAGGCAAGGAGGGTGACTCCTTTTTCCAAGGAACTGCGCAGCGCGCAGTGCGCAATGGTCAGAATGCCAATGCCTGGGCCAATCCAGTTGCGGAAGGGATGCAATAGGGAAGCGAGCGGACTTCACGCGCGCGCGCCCCGCCCCGAAACCTGCCAACTCCCGATGGACTCGGGCCCGCGGGAGACAACGGCAGGGATTGGGAACGGAAGTGCGAGGTCCACTCGCGGCCCTGGTTCATCCTCCGCCCCTCCAAAAAAGGGCGCGTTGACTAGGAAGGTGGGGGGGGGAACCAACCCCGCCACACGGGGTACTCATGAGTATCTCCCCGACTTTGCGGGCCCAGGGTGCGCCCCCCAAAAAAAAACGCATCGCGCTCCTGGGCGATGCCCCGTCGCCGCAGGCGACAGAGATGGGAGAGCAAGGACAGGAAGAAGTGGCGCCAGCATCCCCCGATGCAGGTGTCGCCGCCGCCGCGGCGCGCGCGCCAAGTATACTGGATCGGAGTTGCGACGACAACTCGATCAAAGGGAAAATCTATATCATTCACGGGGCTCCCCAGGCCCATAAGATTGCCAGGGCACCCCAGGCCCAAATAAGTACTAAGACAGATGCAATGACAACTGATCTCTGAGAAAGAATCACGCGTGATGCGAGGCACTCCAGGCCCCAGAAGTCCACTGATAAGTAAAACAAAAAAGAGGCAATCATGGATAATGCTTTGCATCGGTCGTTCTCAGACGCCGTTCCATGATCAGACCAAATCCCAGCTTTGGATGTATCAGATTACTTGCGGACGACCGGCCTGGGTGCGTTTATGTCCGATTGCCATATCATGTCAAGTAAACCCCAATCGATGTCGATATATGATGCGAAGCCAAATATTTCAAGTCAAGAGCTACAAATGCCAGGGCATGTCAAAACACGCATGAGCAATCATGTAATTAGAACCGATGACAAGATAATATGCATCTCAAGATACACGGTAAACTGTGGCAATCCATAAATCACGTCCAGATCTCGTAATAACGCCCACCACAAACACGATTCCCCAGTCATTGGACCAGCTGGTGGTGATAATCTCGTAGTTGTCACATGACCAGATGTACGTTTTGTCGTCGCTGTCGATATAGATCCATCGGGACAGGCGGTGCGACAAGTGACGGTACGCATCGCGTTGGTAGCGCTGGACTCAGCGACGCCACCGAGTGTAGACATTGCGGTGCTCGCGTACGGCACTCCTCCTGAGGCCCCAGTCGCCATCGTCGTCGTGCTCGCGCCTCGGCGGTGTCAGGGGACGGCGCGACGTCGAGGAATGGGCGGCCCCGCCAGTCGCAGCCGCAGCGTCAGCCCAGCCAGCGCCGCCAGGAGCATAAACGGGCGCGGGGCCATCGCGGCTCGGGGGCGGGGGAGCAGGGGCGAGGCGGACGGGGCCCTCGGAGGCGACAGTGAAGTCGTCTGCCTTACCCTTGCCAACGCCTTTGGGCACCTGCGCCCGAAGGTCATTCAACGTGACGCGGCCCATGCGACCTCGCCTCCTCCCTGAGGGAGCGGAAAAGGTGAGAAATCCGCGGTCAAGCCGCGCGCCGCGAGGCATCGCTCCGGGAGCCTGTGCCCGCCAGCCAGCATGCCCGAGCCACTGACTCTCGCTATGCAGGCGCATGCCCTCGTGCGTGTCCTCGATCGTTAATGGGCGCAGATGTGACTGCGCTCTGTCTGTTGTCATCTGACGGTGGAAGACGCCATCCTCCAGAAATCGATGGGCAAGGTCGGGGCACGGATGATAGAGGGCAGTTCCCTCCCTGTCAGCGCCCCGCTGTCCACCGATGCGGCATTGGCCAGGGCGGGGACTGACAGCCTCCAACCACCTGGAGTGTCGGGGCGCGGCTATGTTAGCCAATATGCGAAGGAAGTCTTTGGCGGTGGAATCATCGGAACGTGTGCCAGTGACGCGAACCTGGGCACCCGCACCCATTATTTGGCGCGCGATGTTCTCGTCCATCTGATCGCGGACCCAATTGTGCACGTCAGCCAAAACCTGGACCCGGCACGAACCTGTTTCCCCGCGCTGGAATGACTCAGAACAAATGCGGCACAGGCCGTCTTCGTTTGGGTCGTCATTGGGGAGGTCGCGGTAGCAGCTTGCACAATGCTGCTTGGCGGTCTGGCACTCAGCAGCTCCGTGCTAGACCAAGCGTTGAATCCGCTTGCGGGTTTTGCCACCAGCGCCCAACCTGTGGCCGATCATTCGAATGATGCGATTCGGGACAAAACTGGCGCGGTTTGTGGCAAGATCCTCGGCTAATGATCACAATCCCTTGTCGGTCATAGGACCAGCGGGATTCCCGTCCAAGATCTGAGGGCGATCGCGACGTGCTGAGGCCGTGCCCTGATGACCTCGGAAGAGTCTCTCCGCTCCGCGGCGGAGTTCCTGGCCCGGCGCATCGTCGACGCGAGGGTCACCCATGACATCGTCATCATCGGAACGCATCTCCTCGATGAGCTGTTCCTGGGTGGGGGCAACGGCAGACGCAACGCTTCCAGGGTCAAGAACGGGGATGTTCGCAGCATCGGGCGACGGAGTGACGAAAAACCTGATGTCATATTGGTCGCTGATCGGGTTCCTCAGCATGTCACCGTACTTCTTGTCGGATAACACTGTCGGTTCCCAGAGACTGAGTAGGGGTGCCAACGCCGGATGATGGTTGATAATGTCTGCCGACGAAGTCGTTGGCAAACGAAGTGTAGCATCATTCTGAGGGATGGCGAACAAATGTGAAAACCACCGAGACAATACTGAATCGTCGTTATCGTCCCAACTCATACCCGCCATCATGGTAGACAAGAAACGATTGCGCCCACAAGTGTTTGGCGATTCGTAGGCCCATGGGGAGCATGGGTCGAAGAGCATATTGTGCCAATTTGCCTTGGGGCCAAAGCGGAACCGTATCTCCAGATGACTCTCATACGAGCATGTGTCTCTGTATGTTGCCGTGCAACAATGATGCGCCTCCAAAAGTAGTGTCTGCAGCAGTCCAACACGATGTATAGTTTTGCCCGTCCTGCGAAGGTCGTTCAACTCCGCTGTAGAACACCTGGCAAACATGAGTTTCAGGTTGGGGACGACTTCGATGGTTGTGATCAACATTGTCTGGTCGATCTTGATGTCCTGATTGTCGTTCTGTTGGAGCGCGGGTGTGTCCACCGGCTTGTGGATAACGCCGTCGTCATCGTTAAGTCCAAGGTGGGACTCGGCATCACACGAGCTCAGGTGGTCAGTGTACAACTCGTGCATCTCTGCAGTGGAACGGCAACAACCAAGACGGTGCGTTTGTTAACCTTGCTGTCGGCATACCAAATGTTGGACCAGAACAGGCCACGGCCCCGAAAAGAGATCTGTACACCGACGTTTGGACCATTGTGGGCAGGGTCGAGGATCGGTCCGTAGATCTTACCCTTGCCCAGCTTGGGCGCGGCATCTTTCTTTGCTGGCCACAGGCGATCAACGGCGCGGCAACGGGCCGAACCGCGCAGACGTGCGCATATGAAGTCGTTAACGCAGATATTCTGGAAGCGGCTGCAACAATCCCAGGTGCCGGGAGGAAGTGCCCCCACCAAAGGCTCGAAGTAATTCTCCACAACCGTCCACCAGTGAACCATGTTAAGAATGGCTTCGTTTGTCAAAGTAAGTGCAGGTTTCGCCATCGGCTCTCGGTCGTGCAGGCGGTCATCCAGTTGCGACTGGTCGTGCTTCGGCGCTGGTTGGAGACCTGGAATATTTGGAAAACTCGGTGCGTTAGAACAAGAAGATGAACGCATCCCAACAGGCATCGGCTTTGCTTTCGTGCCTGGAGATGCGTTCGCGCTGACTCTGCTGCTGGCGTTGCCACCGGCGAAATCTCGCAGACCTCGCATTGGCTGCGTGGCGCCAGCAACTTGACCAACTCTGGATACTTCGAATTCAAATTGGGTGGCCAC